ACCAGAGCTGTTAGCGGCCGTGGTCACGTGGAACGTACGTCCCTGTTGTTTACTGCAGTGGAATCTCATCTGAGTGAATCGCAAGTGTCCTCTGAGTTCTTTCATGGCGCTAATTGTGATACCCATTTTGTGATTGGTGAATTTGATGATCCCGCGGTACGATGGCTCAGCGGTCCAAGCGGGAGGAGTGGTCGGGTTATCTACCATAAAGATGGACGTAAGAAGCCAGCCTCCTAGCAATATTAAATAAAGACGATACATCTCACATCAATTCTAAAGTGTTCTAGGTAGAAATGCGAAATCTTAAATAGTGTGTATATCTCGATTCGTTTTAATGATTTGAACATGACAGATTGCGATGCATATTTTTATGCGGTATCATCTCTTGGTACCTTTCACCTACCTCCGTCAGTTTTCATATCACAGTAGACCTTCACAGGGTTTCCTTTGCCCTCAGGGTCGATCCAGTATTCCCCATCTCCTTTAGAGTCATTTGCTTCAAGAATATGCTTGCAAGATTTTCCAGGATTTGCAGCAAAATGGCCAATTCTCACTTGGTAATTTTCAAAGAAAGAGATAAAAATTAAGTTTCGAAATCGCAGTTCTTATTATCATCAACACAATCTACAAGTGCTTTAACCCTTTACATCAATACTCATATTCTCTACGCTTTTCGTTACACATTGCCTGCGGTAATAACAGGGAGTCTTTGTTTAACGATCAACGTCTTGTCTCGTGGGTGATTATTTCCTTTAATTCCTTAATCCTAATGACTGATTCTTAGGGGAAAATGTAACTAACAACTGAACGCACTTCAACATGGAATCAATTTGTTTAATATAATATAGAAGCCAAACTTGTGAATGATGACGCCAGTTATGCGTCTGTCCTCCAATGGAGCATAGGTAGGAACCAATCAAATAGTCACTCTTAGGTTAAAGGATATTTACTACTTACGTGTTTGGCACAATTTTCCTTTGTAGTTCGGATGACACTGGCTGCCCCTCGTTTTGCCACTTCGCTGACGAGAAACATCCACACAAGTGCCCTGCGTTGGTTTTATCAAAACATATTACATACAGATGTTCCTTCGTGTTGTTTTTCGTCGGTTTTTAGGATAGGTATTCAATAGAGCTTTTTTTTTTTGAGGTGATTGTTTGAGTTCCTTTGATTTATATTTTTAACTTCGAGTAGTGGTTAACAGCATAAGACGACTTTTCGTTTTTTTCATTTCAGATGTAAGAAAAGCAAAGGGAGGCCAATGAATCGTTAATCAATATCCATTGGCCTTGGGATACTTCTTTAGATTTCTATTGCCAGGTTTAAAGAGTAGGATAAGAGGTTAGTTTACACATTTTTTTCGGGAAGACAGTGAGCAAAACCAAGTATAACAAGACCATGTATAATTACACACACGCTCTAAAATTGATCAATAAGAGCTTTGGCAGTTGAATTTTCTCAGTTAGCTGTTCTTCTTTGCACAATAAAAAAATGATAATTGAAAAAATGAGGATGAGTTTATGATGATAATGAAGGTTGTTTAAAAAAGGGTGACGGTGCTCCAAATTTCTAGCATAAAAACGGATTACCAAAGAGATTTTTTGTTTCTTTATCTTCGCCTTGTGCCGCTCTCGAGTATAAAAAGGAATATGTGTACACCAGAAACATATTTTCAACTGACCTGAACTGAACCATAGTATGTAGATCCTT